TTTTTTCGGAGAATGAGACTAAGCGAACTTGGAGGATTTAAGAATTATAGACACATACATATGTGTAGATCTTCTTTTTGTAGGAAGATGGGACTGAGAGGAACTTAAAGGACTTATTGCCTATTTTCCGCTACATAAACATTCATTAATAGATAATTCTAAAGCATCCCTAGTATCCTAGTTCCTGTCAAAAAAGGGAGTACATACATATCTATATGTATGCATAATTCTCAAGTTTCCTTAGTTCCCCATTCCTATTTGAAATTGAGTGCTTTTTTGGTCTTAATTCAGATTAAAATCGAAGAACCCATTGTATGGATTAAAGAAAAGAATCAATATTAGTTTTTCAAAGGAAAATATTCGAAGATAATTTATTCGAAATATTCAAGTTTTATTTGAGAATGATTCAATATATAAGTGTTATTTATTATTTTTTTTTTCAGAAGTTGTAATTACTGTTAAGTTGTGAAAGAAATCTAACTATGATCTTCATGTCGATAAAGAAACATTTCTGATGGGCTAGTAAGACAATTAACAGATTATTGTCTTATTGATTTCGACTAGATTTTAATTCTTTTTAGTGGAGGACAAACAGAAATTTACATATAGAATATTACAACAGATATTTAACAATTCAAAACAAGACATAAATGTGTTTGTAAGCCGTTGAGAGTGCCTCATGCCGGTTTTTATTTTTCCTTCGTAACTATTCAAATAAAATGTTCAGCAAGTTTAAGCCTACTTTCAAAAGAGAGAAACGTTTTTATTTTTAGATTTCTAAATACTAATCTATTGAAGAAGATTTTCCTTGGTCTATATATTTTATTAAGCCGACAATGAAGCACGTCTGGCTGTTGAAATGCCATTTGCTTCGAACTATTAACAATTGATCGGAAATCAGTCATTTTGTAAAGGTCCCAGTTGGCCTCATTTGTCCAGCTTTATTAAGTTATATCAAACACAACTTGGAGACACTTCTAATGACTAAAACATATCTGCAGATTCAATTCCTAACAAGCTTTTCATTACAGATGAAAAATTGAATAAAACGCCAATAACACGCTAAGAGAAAACTTAAAAGCAAATTCAAAGAGAGATAATCAGTATTCATCAATAATGATCGAACTAGAGTAGTTCGAAGCAAAAAGCAAGTAAGCAAGCACCAATATTTTCCCTCAAGTAAACAACAGTTAGATTCAGATGCTTTATATGAAGATTATATGGATGAGAAAGTTTCTTGTTATTTTACGTCAAAGCAACATCTAATATAGTCAAATGTTTTTCGTGAATGTATTCCTATAGGTTGATGAAGAGATTGGAATAGTAAAAGAAAATCGAAAATTCTACAATCTGAAACATGTATTCGCAAGGTATTTGGTCAAATAAATAAAGTTTTATATTTCTCTTCTGATTTTAGCAAAAACAAAGATTCAAAAATAAAACAGTGCAAACCCAAGTTGAAGAATCCCAAACTCAGATCCCACTAGATCCTACAAAATATCTAAAATAATTTGATAATCTCCGACAGGAAGTTGCCGAATGTCAATTACGGCGGTTAGAAAACGTCGAATCCATTTAGGATTCGATGGGCTCACTTTAGATTTATATATGAGTACTAGACATTGTTAGCCTCTATCCTGTGTACAATGTGCTTTATTATACTATGAGATTTGATTCTTGAATAACAAGTCTAAATAAAGAAAAAAAGCTAAAGATAAATATGTTATTTTTCTTAACAGCCATTTGTAAATTTTACATGTTAAACCTCAAAATATATTACGAAAGAAGTAAATCGCTACTTTAACTTATTTAAACATGCAACTACCTAATTATATATTGAAACTTCGATTAATAAATCTAAATAAAAATAATATTAAATTATTATATTTTTTTACCTATCCTAATATTAAAATACTAAGTGATAAATTTAAAAAAATAAGTAGAAAAACAAAATGTTTTTTTTTTATTTGATTTTATCACAAAATTTGTTGTCGAATAATATATCTCAATACAAGACAATATGAAAAATGAAAGCATGTGAATTCACAATTAAAATCAAACCTTGAATAATAAATCTAAATAACCAAAAACAAAACAAAATGAGCGTCTTCTTTTTGTGTAAAATAATATTTTGTCTAACTCGACTGGTCCGAAAATATGTTCATAGTATTACATAATTTCAATCATGTGTTAATCTCCTTTAATAAAACTTGTTTCAATTTGTTAGCTTCGGTATATTATATTCACCTTACGTGTATACAGCTTCGTTTCATCCTAAAAAGTATTACAAATATATTTCAAAACTAAACACTTTTCTACCATTGGATTTCAACGAATTCGATAAATCTCTACGCTGTCAGATATCATCTGATCCAACTGACGAAATCCTGTAGTGAGAGATCATCGAAAATCGATAGTCTTTGTTTTTATTTTATGAGCAATTAAACAAAAACAAAAGTATGTATGATTAAATTATTCCATAGAAAATGTTAAAATGAGAGGCTCTTGATCTTTTACAGTTGATTTTATTTTTTATATGAATATTCTCTAATAAGAAGATTTGGATATTTTTGATTAGTTGAGACTATTTAATGATAAAAAACGAACACTTTATTCAATACAATTAAAAGTATTTTATAATATCTGAAGATTTACAAAGAGAATAAAAAATATTGAAATTTCGAATAAAATTGACGAACATATTTGAAATTGATATCTTTGAATTTCAATTAAACAAAATTAAACCTATTGATTGGAATTTCTTTCTTTCTAAATAATTATTCATTGTGTGATGTCTAAATTTATATTCAATCGAATATGATTTTATCTTAATTATCATTGATCAAATAGTCTTTAGGAAAATTTTCGATGAATCAAAATCGAAAACCTCTATTTAATCATATATTTCAGTTACTGATTCCAAGCTGGCAATTAATTGAAGAGATATTCGAAGATTGAGCAGATCAGAAGTCGAACAAACTTTCTACCAAGTTTTTTTTCAATAATTCGAGAAATTCAAAAAAGAAAAGGCTTTGTTTTTGGTATGTATTAATGAGATGAGTCTATTTTAAATAATGATTCAATTAAACTTCTTATTCGCATCGTTTATGTCAACATATTTGTTTTTTTGTATATAGTTTTAGATAAATGATCTTTTTCGATTCGAGGTGTTTCTTTCATATATTGAAGTTTCGACGATTTGCTTATTCTTCTATAATTCGTCTAATTGTGTATCAAAATATACATGAAGACATCCGACCACCTAATAGATCCTGATTCAATAAAGTTCTAAACTAGTAGTGAAACTTGTGATGATTTTCCATTACTACCGATAGTGCCTAGAAGAGTACATGCCATATCACGAACCAATGCTTCGATAGAACAATTATTTAGCTCAGTTGCATTGACATTTACATAAAGACGAACATTATTGTCACCAAGTCACATTGATAACATTATATATTGGTTCATACGAGAAATTCAAAAACAAGCAGTAAAAAGACAAGTTATTATCCTTTCTCGTTGTCATCTGTTTATATTGTTCCCATTGTGAATTCCGTATCCTTATCTTTATTCTTTTATTCGCCTTATGGATATCAAGTTTTTATTCATGTCAAAAGTGCAATGAAATGATTGTTCTGTAGAACGATATTTTGATACCCCATTCTGATCCTGATGCCCACTAAAAAAGAATTAAGCAAATAATACATTCTGGTTCTTTTCTTTCTAAATAAAAATATAGAATAAGTAGCGTTTCATATTTTTCCATTAAAATAATTCATATTTTCATCTTGAAAATAAATTTTTGTTTTACTTAGCCAAATATATTGTTCTCCGAGAAATGAAGAAGAACATGTATATCGAAAGTTGCAGCTGTTCTGTGTGTTTGACTTCTACTTGATAAACCAGCCATTAGTAGCACTGTCCACATAATATACTTATACTGAATGGTCCGTTGTACAGACTAATGATAATCTAAGAAAAGTTTTTTATCATTAAAAAAAACTTTTTTAAATTCAAAGATAAAACTTTTTTTCTTCGGTAAATTAAAGGTTTTTTTCCAAATTTTCGTTTTTACTATAATGAATATTCAGCGCTACATCCAATCAGAACAAACTAGCGCTAGTATAGCCACATAAACTAAACATGTCGATCTGTTTTTTTTGCTTGCGAAAAAAACTTGATTGAGAATCTGAGGTATTAGGAGAAATTTTTTCTTTTATTATTTGATAGATTCAAAATGCCAGAATCATCATCACCAGAACATATTTATGGATTAAATAAATGGTCTGATCTTGGTTATTCCACAATTGATATGCTTTATTTACGACCTGTTCGATGGTTTCATCGAAATATAGTTGAACGTCTTCGTGGTCAGGCTTATCCATATTATCATCGTAAATTTGGTGCTGTTAAAACAATTGATGAATGTGAAATTCAAGATCAAACATGTTTTTATGAAGCTGAAATGGCTTATTTACGTGAAAAACGTATTGATACAATGATCGTAGAAATTCTTCATGATCGTTTAACACGTTGTATTGCATATGAAGGTCGTATTGATGCATTAGATAAATGTGCTAAAGAAAAAGATGCATTATTTGAATCACATGCTAATTGGTATCAAAAATATGGTGAAATGGGTGTGCCACATAGTTGTGTTGATGCTTATATGAAACAAAAACATCTTATGATATGGATGCGTCGTCATCCTGAAGTTGATCTTAAAGGATGGGCAACCGAACGGGATTATGAACGTAAGACAAAGGATTATATCAAGAGCATTCCCATGCCAATGGAAATTCGATAGACATAATAAACTTAAACATCATCCTGTCCGTTTGTTTTCCCCTTGTTAGACTATATATTACGACTTGTATTTTCCTTCCTACCTTTTCTTTTTTTTTTTGTATAAACACATTTATCTCCGTGCATCAGTATGGAAAAAACAATTAGTTATGCTTTCTTTTCTTTTCTTTTCTCTCAATTTGATTTCTAGAATGAAACAAATCGATACATCAGTATCAACGATAGATCGTTTTGATCAATTTACAATTCTATTTGATATATTAATTTCAATTGTTGGTGCTCTAATTGTTAATCGTTTAATACCAATACTAAAAGATAAATTTATTCGTGCTCAATTATGGGGATATGATTTTAATAAAATAAATTCGAGAAAAGTAAAAATGTAAGTTACATCATGCAGAATATTAAAAAAAAAACATCCGTATATAATTTTTTTTCTAGTGCAGAATCTCAGGGTGTTATAGCAGCTGGTATTTTTCTTATTTTAATGTTTATTATGATTGCTATTGTATTTTCTGAACATTTACATCCACAAAGTGATTTTCCACATAATAAAGTAAATAATTTTTGTTCTTCAAGAAAACTGAATTATTTTGTTTTCTTTTTGCTATTGTGAAGTTCATTGAATATTTAGCTGCTTTACTTTCAATATGTTGTATGGTTCTACTTGGCTTTGCAGATGATGTACTTGATTTACGTTGGAGTGTTAAATTGTTGTTACCTTTAGTTGCATCTTTACCACTTTTATTAGTTTATTTTGCTAATTATCATTCAACAACTATTATTTTACCAAAACCAGTAAGACCATTCTTGGGTCATCAATGGAATCTTGGTAGGATAGAACATTTGTCAATGATGTAATCTTTGTCGATATTGATATAGGCATTCTATATTATGTCTATATGAGTATGGTAGCTGTATTTTGTACAAATGCAATTAATATTCTAGCTGGTGTTAATGGACTTGAAGTTGGTCAATCTATTGTTATTGCAAGTTCAATACTTCTTTTTAACTTTATTGAAATGCAAGGTTTGAAAATAGTCTTCAATTAATTTAAGAAAAACTATTGAATATATATATTATCTCGCTGATGCAATCTTATAGTTTTAACAGTAAAATACCTAACAGCTGAGAAAAGAAAAAGAGACTTTCTTTCAACTTCAGAATATCCTCGTCCTCTTGTTATTTTTGAGAAAAAGCTCAACTTTGAGCGGAGCATAAGATATCATAGCTTAAAGTACTATGTGCAAATAGAAATATCATTGAGTTCTAAATAACTAATTGTGATCGAGTTCCTTCATTGAGGCATTTTTTTAATACTAATCATATTTAAGTTTGTTTCGTTTACTTATTGCAGCATAAAACGCTTATGTTCTCAATTCTAGTTGCTTACGGTCTCCTTCTAACTTTGTCTGATGGACCTGAAATGATTGCCATAGATACTTAGAAATATCCTCGAGAGATAAAATCAACTTCTTTCGTTTTTAGCTTCGAACCTTTTATGTATTTCTCGCAAAAAAAAAGAAAACCAAGTTTTCGTAAACGCTTAAAAAATATCTCTAAGATGTACTTTGAGATATTTTCGAAAAAATTTAAGTCCAGTCGGATAAAGTTTGATCGAGATCGTAATGTATCAGAATGTAGTCCTATGGAAAACCAGAGTGTATGAAGGATTTCTCAGTAGCGACTTGACGAAAATTTATGAAAGTTTTAAGGAAAATTTGAATAAGTAGAATAAAAACTGCCACAGACTCAAAATTCTTACACACTGCCTCTGAGAGATATGAAGGTGATACAGGACAAAAATGGTCGGAAGAGTTCTCCGCAACACTGTACTTCATTTCTTCGAGTTGCAATTCTTTTTTATAACAACAAGGATCCAATCGGGATGGTTTTTTTTTCCACAAATATCGTTCTAAAGTTCAGAGAAAGCAAGTTCCTAGAAGCATCGTCAAAGAGAACGTGTGTTTTCCATGGTACTAATTTTCAAAGGCTGTTGAACTCACTCCAACTTGAGCAAAATATTCATTAAAAAGTTTGAATCCGATTGAACATACCATGCGCGAGAAACGTGAAGAAAACTTCTTTTTTTTGTTCAAAAATTGGTTATGAGAAAAACTCAAAACAAACTGACTTGTATATATCAGGATTTTTTCTACAATTAGAGAGTGGTCGAAAGCTGTCGATGCTAGAGGACCATGATCTTAGCATCTTTGGTTATTATCATTAGAAGAATTTCGCTTCCAAAAAATAATTGCAGAGCGAGTTTTTCGGCTAAGAATTTTGAGTAATAGGTTTCATTCAAGTACTAACTAACAATAAAGAGCTGTCATTTCTGCAGTATTTGATAGAGGACGTTTCGAAGCTATATGAGCGATGAAAAACCAACCATCGAATAAATTTTCTTCCATCCTCCTCAAGAATTTATCTTGGCCCAAGTACAGTAAGCTCATATGAAATTTTCAGCTCTATATCACAACCTTTTGAGAGACATTCATCACATCAGGTACAAATTTGCTCATTTGGTAACTCAAAATTCTCTGTGAGCCTTCATTCGATATATTTATTTTGCAAAACATGTACTGCTTTTCTAAAGAAAAAGTAGAATTGTCAAGCGGATAATAATAGAAATTTGTGAAGACAACGAAGTGCCAAATAAAAAATCCTATCGTTTATGAAAAAGCAGAGTTTGAGCTATTTTCCCATACGTTAATGTCAATTTTCTTTTTTTGTTGAGAACGAAGGACGGCATTTTTAATTGGCGCTACATACATAATAAATTACATATTTTATTCTTTAGGTTCTTGTTCAGAAGAGCATCTTTTTTCACTATATTTTATGATTCCATTCATTGCTTGCACTTTTCCCATTTTACTTCGAAACTGGTTTGTCAAATTTATTTTTTTTATTTATTTATTCTAATTACACACTTCTTTGCATATTAAATTAGGTGTCCAGCAGAAATATTTGTTGGTGATACGTTTTGTTATTTTGCTGGTATGACATTTGCAGTAGTCGGTATTATTGGTCATTTTAGTAAGACAATGTTACTTTTCTTTATACCACAAATTATTAATTTTCTTCTTTCAATACCTCAATTATTTCATTTTATTCCATGTCCAAGACATCGCTTACCAAGGTCAGTTCTCATTTTCTGCAATTTATTTGGTTATTATTCTATACATTTGTTTAGATTAAATATTGACTTAAATAAGTTGAATCCATCTGAAATTGAATTTAAAAAAAAAGATTTAAAACCACTTGGTTGGTTAATGTTACGATTTTTTTCAGCAATGAAATTTATAAAATATCGAGAATATAAAATGAGTGATAATGAAATAATGATTGCAACAACAAATTTTACTATTATCAATACAGTTCTTTGTTGGAGTGGTCCATTATATGAAGGAACGCTTACTCAAATTTTGATAGTCATACAGGTATATTTATTATTAAGTTTTTAAAATAAAGAAAGAAGCTCATTTTATTTTAGATTGTATTTGGTTCTTTACTTCCATTTTTTATTCGTTATTACCTTGTAAAATTTTTCTATGATTGATGACTATGTATTTTTTTTTGTCAATTATGAATATATATTCATTTTTGTTTTGATAGAGAAATTATTTTTATTTCTATTTTATTTGGAATGAATTGAAAATAATTCTTTTGAATTTCTACAATAATGTATACAATTTGGCATATAAGGTTTTGAACACCATGGACAACGTGCTAACGAATCTGAAGTTTTTTTTCGCATTGATAAAAAACAAAATGTTTCTGTTGGTAATGATGCTTTTTGTTGTGTGGTTTGTTTATTGATTATAGGAGTAGAAATAGGTTGTTGAATAGCTGCAGTTATAGCAGGTGATGTATTTGCAAGAGTTGAACATGTACGATTTGAACCAAATTTTATTCGTCGATCAAGTTTAAGTCGAGCAAGAAGTGTTTCTTCTGATGGTGGTTGCTGTAATTGTTTTAATTTACTTGAACAGAATGCAACATGACGATCATAAGCTTTTTCACAAAATGTACGTTTGCAATTTGGACAACCTAAGATTATTTGAATTACATTATAAGTTTATTAATACAATTTATAAATGATTTCTGAGACTATTATTTTTGTATGAGAAATCATAAAATTTAATATAGATATAAATCTTCCCAAGAGTAACTATTAATGGAGACGGAAGCTCTTCAGATAATGTAATCAGAATTTCAGTCGTACAGGATTTTTATTTTGTTGTAACGAGTAAAAATTAAAAAAAAGGAAAAAATCCTTAATTAGAAATTTAACCGCTAGATCCAATTTTTCATACAACACTTTAAGTAAACTTCTGCTGAGAATTTAACTAGCGTTTTTTGTTTTCTTTGTTAATGTTCTTTTCCCATTACAATCCGTGTAATATTCAAAGGGAGTGCCTATTCTTTCTTTTCTGAACATAGTGACGTGTCATCTGAATCAACGAAATAAATATCTCAATATTTGTGTTTTTATAAGGTTTCATTTCTACTTTGTTACTATGTCTCGATAAGACTTTTATGTATTGTATGTGTTCAATAAGATTCGATGAAGAGTGCAAAGGTTTTTGTTTGCATATAAATCAACACACTTCAAAACTATTACCTCGCACAAAGAATAACCCTATATAACCTTATAATCCACAAGGTTGACTTTAACTGTGCTTTAGTCGCGTGTTTATTAAATGATTCTAAGTTTTTTTCCTCAAAGATCTGGTGTACTTGAAAATTTTAATGTAAATTACATACAGAAATTATTGATAATAGGTGGCACAACTGTGTCATCCAGCCGACGATTACGTTTAGCACTGCGTGTTTGAGATGGTCGTATATTGCTATTATTATTAGTGTTTGATTTATTTGAATTGAAAGGCGATACTTTACGTACTGGTATAATTTTGTCACCTGATCTTATTGAACGATATTGTGTCATATCAAATACACGAATATTACGTTTGTTTATTGAATTTTCACGACAAACATTGGGATGTTTGGAAAAAACTTCTGGACGCATTCGTCGTTGACATGCTGGACATTGAACTAAGTTTTGAGATATTTCTTTCATACCATCATCACTATCATTATCAACAATGTCAACTTCTTTGTCGTTTTTGTTGTTCATTCTATTGAAAATGTTTGTACTCTATCCGGTTGCTCAATTTATGTATGTGCATGTGTACGTTGCCCGTTAACATGGAGATATTGTCGACGCAACTCAATAGATGCAGATGTTTCTGTGTACCTTTCTTCTGTTGCTTCGTTTGATCGTTCTTTTTCTTTCATTCTGTCAACTATTTTTTCTCTCTTAATAGATGTTGGATTGAAGATATTTTCAAGTATTTTATGCACCTTCTTTTTTTGTCCATTTGATCTACTTATGAAGTCAATAATCATATGAGATAAGATATTTAGAAAGGAATCGCTCTTTTTATTCAACATATATATATGTATAGTTATTCAATATTCATATTTTTCTATCTATAACATCTATATACGTGTTGATAGGAAATTGTTTCCAAGGTAGAAATTTGTTTAACCTTCAAATGAATTGATTTGAAACGTTAGTGGGAGCGAATACAAACAATGTTGCTTGTGATAATGAAAACGATCATGAATTAACAATGAATATTGGTTAAAGTTGAAAATGATATAAATATAAAACTATTCTTCTATCTTTCTACACTTCATATAATTATTGATTAAAATTTAGAGTCTAGGTAACAGATGTGAAACATATTATATAGCAAATAAATAACAGCAGAAATAAACGAATCGTTCATTCAGCAATTATTAGAGGGTGCTCGCTCTACAACTATATACTCAATGAAAAAAATGAAGACTTTTGAAATGGATTCCACCAAAAAAATTTGACTAAAAGAAAAACAATTCGTTGTCTTCCACAGAAATTCGATCAAAGCTTTTGTTGTTACATAATTGTTCATTTATATTAGTATTTACTTGATAAATCAAACCAAAGGAAAGGCTCAACACAATTGCAAAAATAATTTATCATTTGTCAGCGTCATTTTTATTTCTTTGTGACATTTTTTATTTAGCTTTCTTAAATTAGATCTCATACATCATGACAAAATAAAAACGACATATTGTTCTATTTGAATTTAGATATGAGCACAATGATTCTGGGATCGGAAACAGAAACAACACTTTATCATTCGGAGTGGTGATATATTTTATAGTTGTGTATAACTTGCGTTGCATGTCATATTCTTGCAACTCATGTATTCTAAAAGTTTATGCAAACATTATTGACAAACGATCATTTCAATATTAGCTGTTACAATTTCGATAGTAACATTAATTCTTTTTTTTTCTTCTCAAACAACACAGTTGTTGAACACATAAAGATGCAGAATAAACGAAGTATTAGTGTATTCAATAAGTTAATCAATTGTCAAGACGGATGATATTAAAGATCATATAATATGTTACGAACTCATTGACACTGCTCATCAGTATTTATATTATCTCTTCTTTAATTTGATCAAAGAATTCAACGCAACATTTTATTGAACAACCACACAGGATCGATTTGATATTCAAATCACTGTTGTTAAGTTATTCTTCACTTTTCGTCGATTAAGTACTTGCTATAGAATACCATTGAACTTGTCGTTCTACAGATATATTTCAGCCAGAATTTTTCAGATGAATTCATTGTTTCAAAGTTGATCAATATCTCTTAGTTATGTACTAGACTACATAAAAGTGAGTTAAACTATTGAAGATGGATGCTATCTTATTCGAGAACTAAACTGATGTAGAAGTTGATAATTATAACTAGCTTTCCTTGTCTGAAGCCTACATTGTGTCCAAACCAACCAATCTTGCTGAAGCTTTCAAGAAATATATGTTCTTGTCTTCAGATAGTTGATAGTCAAAATGTGAGCGCATAATATTGAGTTGTTTAAAAGTATTACTAACATTAGGAGTCAAAATATAGGCAAGATTTACTACTACAACTTACCAGAACAAGATTTTTGAATTTGCGTATCTATATTTTCCATGGAAGTTTTTATTCTCAAGGTTGGAAAAAATAGTGTGATATGTTCGAAGCAAATTGATTTTCTTGCGTATGAATAGACGAATCAAATAAATCTATCACTATTAAATTGTAGGATGTAAATGTTGCTTCATTTGAATATCTTTCCCGAACTTTCTAGCATTTAAGACGGTCGAGAAAACTTCAACATACGAATAACTAAAAAACAGAAAAATCTATATTGACATACATGCAAAAGAAGTTTTAATTTAGACAATGATATATTTTTTCTGGAGGATGTGCAGTGTGTTATGGCTTGGATCAAGCAGACATGAGAAAAACGAGTATTGTGAACAAATACGCTTAAACATCCACACCCACTCATTGTAATCTATGAAGCTCTCAGCTCACTAATCTGTGTCTAGAAGAGAGAAAACTTATAGAAATAAATAATGAAAAGCGCTATAGTAATGGAGTACAATTCTTATGTCGTTACTGAAGTGTAGCATATCAGTTCGATTTGACAATGCAAAAAATAAGTTACAATGAGCACAAATAGTATTTAAATCAGATAGTGCAAGAAAAGGCAGCACTTATTACTGAGTTAAATATTAAACACAACTGTGTTTAATCTAAATCGCATTAAAAATCAATGGTAAAGTCATTTTTGAATATTTTTTTTATTCAAAATAAAGAAAGAAACATTCTTATAAAATTTGATTCATTCATATTGAATCAATGCTCAGTCGTATCATAAATTTTATTTGTCAAAATGAAAGTCTTTGATATTATATATGTGGTAGATATTTCGCATCTTTAAATGAAGCTGTAAAAGAACATAACAAATTTTGATATATGTGTACATTATATATATAAAACTCACTGAACCAAGTACTTCAGTATGAACAAAAAATTATTTTATACAAAAATATTTACAGATATTTTCTAAAACTTAAAAGTTTGAATAAAAAAACCAGTTTCTTGTAAAATACAAAATCATCCTATCAATCCAATGTCTTCTGTCATATTCAAAATTCAATACAAAACTTCCAATTAATTCATGTTATAGTTCTTCAAGTAGTAAAGAAATGTTTATCCATAGAGTACAGTCTCTTGTATATTTATGATACAACGTGACCTCTTTTGAATTTATTTCGGTATAGCTAAAATACAATGATCATTGTTTTCTTTCTACCCATGCATACTATATATACATATAGAGAATCTTTCTTTCTATATGTAGCTGCGTATCAAGTTAGTTAACCAGTTGTATTTCTCAAAAGACAAAGACTTATATGTATAAATCTTATGTATGCATCATATGTTCGTGAACTTTCTTTTCTTAAATGAACTTCAGTATTCAACTAATAAAAAAAGCAACAACTAATTAATTAAATGCTGATTTCATATTTAGATTATTTATTTAACGAACATTATTAAACAACTACAATGGACGAACAATTAAAAACAACATCAACATCTTCTGATTCAAGCATGTTTCTATTTTCTCACAACATTCAGAATTATTAGATATATTCGAAATGTTTTTTTTTTTTAATTTAGTTTTTTCTCAATTTTCATCACATGATACAGTAGTTAATGGTGGAATTATTCCTACATTATCTGCTTTGTCAGTACTTTCACCACTTCGGTCGTCAGTTACATTAGCCAATATGAGCAATCTTACAAATACACAAGAGAATCAGAATTATTTTCTCGATGAATTTAATTCACAACAATCATTTGCAATGTCTCGATGGTAAGTTAAAACATTTCTTATATTTTATTATTGCTATCGAAATTATTTATTTATTGACAAACTGTTTGACAAAGCATTTACAGGTTTTCTTTTCGTTTTTTTTAATTAATAGGCAATCAGATGCCGAAAACTTGAATCTACAGTTTGATTCATCTAATCGACAATCATCAACCAATCTTGTTAATGATTTTCTGTAAGTATTATGAATATGTTTTCGTCACTACGCATCTAAAAAAAAGCGAACATTTATGATATAAAAACAATGGTTTTTAGGACCAACCGAAATATTGCTTCTTCATCCATAACTGATGCAATTATTTCACCTATGTCTCGGTTGTCAACATCATCATCGGTCATGTCTTTTAGTAGCATTGGTAATCAAAAATCAAATAGTCAACGATCTGTGAGTACTGAAAAAAAAATATAACTTGGTGCTCTTTTCAAAACTTCCTATTAGAGATTTAAAGCGAGAAATTAATCAATCTTGCGTTCCATAGTCAAATTAAATTAAAATAAAAGTTCTCCAAAAGACATTTTTCGTTTGAATCTATTTCATTATTTCTTTCAAAGAAAAAAAAGGTGTTACAGTTATTATCATTTAGCAAATCGTATTTATCTTTTATGACTAAAATAAGCATTGATTTTTTTAATTAATACATTTAGTTTCAATCATTGATGACTAATTCAACAGATCAGTTACTCGCAACAAATGAAAATGTTAATCTCTTTCCTCCGGCATCATCGTTTCTATCATTACAAACACCACTATCAAATCGTCAAACACTTTCTTC